GTCATTCTGCCATTCGTGGATTTGCACATTAGGCTTTTATTATATAGGATAGATAGAGCACCTGAATTAATCTGAAAAGTAATCATATTATTTTAAATCTTAGAACACATATACTTATGTGAATAGGGGGTTAAGTTTCTAAATTATGAAAATGGGGTTAAGTTTCCTTTTCAAGGCCTGGGCAAAGCAATTGAGGAAGTGACTCAGCTGTGACTCCAGCAAGCGGAAACAATAAGCAGGTTCAGATCAACCCACCAGGAGTCAAAACATTATCTCCTTAACATCATCTCATCGCCTGTTGAGTAATTACAATAGCTGATAAATAAACAGAAACAATAGCTGTTTCTGTGTCTGTTTGTGTGTGTTCACTAGCAACCCCAGCTGGCAGCCCCCTGGGCCACATTCTGGCTGTAAGTCCCGGGCACAGTAAGACATCTTCTGAAAGATCCATGGAAAGGACTCTGATTCATTAAGCCTTGTCTGTGGTTATGTGGGCCTGTAAATATCGTATATAAGAGTGTCTCTGTTGATTGTTGTTTGTGTCCCTTTGTTGTTTGGTCTCTAGTGAGAGTTCTTGTCTGTCTGTCTGTAATGTAAGGATTCTACTGAGAAACAAAAATGTGGGAAATAGTCATTTAAACTCCCCAAGTACTTATCCTAGAGGGCTGGAGCTAAAGAAGTGCCCTTGAATAGGCTGCAGAAGTGGCAGCAGCGGGGTGAGGGGGCACTCTCCTTGTAAAGGGGAAAAAAATAGTATTTGACACTAAAGCTGTTGGAGGCCCAGGAGTTGCTACAGTCCTAGGAACAAACCCCAGGGCCTTCTATCTCCCCACATACACACCCACCTTTTTTGCAGCCTCCTAAGAGTTAATCAGGTTATGTTATCTCTGTTATACTTCTTAAGAATGTGAGTATATTTTCCATGAGGAAATTAAGCCTATTTCTGAAATCAACTCATCAACATCATCTCATTGCCTGATGATTAATTACAATAACTGACATCTGCGGACCCCCAGGCCTGCATGTAGCTGCATTCCTGAGGGGGTTGGGGGTGGGGGGTTTGTTCCTGTATTTGCCTAGGAAGCAAAGGTTTTATATATATTATTAAAATGGTTATGTTATGTTAATCAGGAACTTGATTACTTAAAAGCCCATCTTTTTTTTTGATATATTTCTTTATTGATTTCAGAGAGGAAGGGAGAAGGAGAGAGAGAAACATCCGTGATGAGAGAGAATCATGGATTGGCTGCCTCCTGCATGCCCCACACTGGGGATCGAGCCCACAAGCTGGGCATGTGCCCTTGGCCAGAATCGAACCTGGGACCCTTCAGTCCTCAGGCTGACACTCCATCCATTGAGCCAAGCTGGCCAGTTAAAAGCCCATCTTCTTAATCATAAGAATTGAAGTTTTACTACCTTATGTGGTGTTTAATAATAAATTATTTAACACTGCTTAATAATAATATATAATCTTTTAGTCTAATGTATTTGACTACCTTCCCAGGGTTTGAATTTTAAGAAACTTTTCCTTGACCTAGAATTAGCTTTAGGTCATTCCAATGGGCCCTGGAATGCCTCAAGGATTTGCTTTCTCTGCTTATGAAGGAAAATTTTATCCATAAGGTATATGGGAAGCCCTGTCAAATAAGGAAATAATAATTATATTTTACT